CCGCCTCTCCCAGCCCACTGCGTGGCGGGCACCGGGCCCCAACGGGGGCCAGCCGAGCCCACAGCTGCCCAGCTCGCATGCCGCCTCTCCCACCCCACTGCGTGGCGGGCACCGGGCCCCAACCGGGGCCAGCTGGGAGCGCTGCCGCCGAGGGCGCCAGGCGCGCGGGAGTGGACACTGAATCCCCGCGGGGCTGTCCTCGAGCCAGCCGACGCCGGCTCACCGGTCCTGCCTCCAACCCCTGAGCCTCCTCCCTCACTGGACCTGGCAGACCTGGGCCAGCGCCCCAGAAACTCCTCAGAGCTGGCCCTGTCCAAAGACCCTCAGCTCGGGGTGGAGCCCCGAGGCAGCCCCCAGCCGGGAGTGAAGGGAGGGAGGGCGAGCAGCGGACAGCTGGCTTGCCGCAGTGGCCCACGCTGCCCACTCCGTTAGGGGAGTGTGGACAGTGCGCGCCCGGCCAGCTCAGGGCAGGGCAGGCCACACATGCCACACAGCGTCCTTAGCAGACAGGCTGGTTGACAGGTCCGGAAGCTGCTCCTCACCCCACCCCCCGGCGGCAGGATGGCGCGACATTCTCCACTTCAAGAGGCCTCGTGGGACCTGGCGGACAGTGCAGGGGGCGCGAGTCCATCCACCCGGCGCCATGGGCACGAGCCAGCGCCGTCCAGACCAGACAACGGTCCTCCCCCACCTGGTGAGATGCTGGGCCGGGTCCCGTGTGGGCAGCCTTCAGCCCTGCGGAGCCTCCCAGGCCAGTGTTACACACACACTTCCCTGGGCCTCACCCCAGCCCCAGTCTGGGAACCCCGACCTGTTTCCTCATTCCCGCCCCACCCATGCACCGCCTGGACTCCCCTGGGGGCATGTGGGCGCTCGCTGGCCCTGCCTGCTCTGGCCTGCCCAGGGGCCTCTGAGGGGCTGCTCCCGGCACCCTGCCCCGCTCCGTCTCCAATCCCAGCCGGACTCAGGCTGGCTCCTCGGTGGAGGGTGAGGCAGGGCCGCAGAGTGGGCAGGCTGCCAGGCACGATCGCCGGACACCGCAGGCTGGAGGGGGGGAACCAAAATACAGGTCTTCACCCCTGCTGACCGGCCGTTTCGGGGCCTCACTGTGCTGGGGTGCCACCACGTCCTTGGGGTCTTGGGGCCTTTGCTCGCCTGCAGGCATGTCGGCGCACGCCCAGCATGGTCCAGGTCAGGCCCCGACACAGGGCACCCGACGCTCCCACCATCCTGGCCCGGCCTGGCACTGCCTGGGCTGTGTGCAAGTGGCTCCCAGCAGCCTCGGCTCCCGCCTTCCTGAGGGGAGGCTGGGGTGCGAGGGGGGTCTCCCTGCAGGCCACTTCCAGGTGTCGGCACCCCCAGATGCACACACCATGCTGAGGGTGCTCCTGTCCCTTCTAACCAAACGTCTCAGCCCTGGGCCTTGTCCCCCGGGGCCAGCCCTGTTAGGACAGGCCAGAGCAGCGCCCACCCCTGCCAGGCGAGGCGCACGGTCCCTGAGCCTGGCGGACCCAGCACCCCAGTAGGGGAGCGGCTGCTGCACCCACAGCCCTGGGCCCTCCCTGCTCTGGACCCCCTCAGTCTCCTCACTGGTGCCATGGGCCCCCACCCGGCGGAGCCCTCCAGAAGCCCCACCTCGTGCACAGGCACCCTGCCTGCTCCCGATCAGCTTGACCTGCCCTCTTTAGGGAGGCACCGTTTTAATTCACATTTATTTAAAAAATAAATACTGCACTGTACTCAGACTAGAGGCAACGCTGGGCAGCTGGGCAGGGAGGCAGCCTGATGGCGCAGGACGGCCCCTCTGCGCCCGCCCCAGATGCCTGGCGAGCCTGGCCCAGCTGTCCCTCCGCCCGCCAGCAGCCCCGCTGGGCCGCAGGAGCCCGGGCTGAGGGCTTGTGGTGGGGCCGGAGGTTAGATGCAGGTGATGAGCACTTCCATGGACTTGGGCGTCTCGATCTCCTCGAAGAGCAGGTGGCCCTCCAGAGCCCCGGGGTCCCTGGCCTTGGCAGCGGCCCTCAGCAGGTCCTTGGCGCGCTGCAGGAGCTGGCGGTTCCGCCGGCGGCCCAGGCGGCGCAGGGCCAGAAGGGCCAGCACGTGGTCCCGCCTGCGGAGACGCAGCACCTCACTGCCCACCCAGCCCCTCCGGCGGCCCCGCAGCCCGTGGGGAAGCCTGGGCTCGGGCGTGAAGTCCAGGCCGGTCTGTGAGCGGCCAGACCAGGGGAAGGTGCGCCCCAGGGTGGCGGGGGGGGGGGGGCTCGGGTCCGCGGAGCTGTGGGAGGGGCGAGATGCACGCTGGCAGGGCCCAGCCAGAGCGGCCGCAGGCTGGGCAGCAAGCAGCAGCACTGCGGGAGGGGCCGAGCAGGGCAGTCCGCGGGGGACAGGCGACCGCCCCGCGTGGAGGGGCCGCGGACCAGGAAGGGACTGGGCTCTGGGCTTTCTCCAGAAAACCCCAACGCAGGCTGGGATTTCCAGTTATGACTCACCACCCCCCACACACCCTGGGATCAAAGCCCTCTCGCTCCTGGCAGGCCTTCAGGAATCTTCGGCTTCCAGGCCGGAGTCACACTTCCCCAGACTCGGGGCCCGCCATCACTCCCGGGGGCCGGGCCGAGCTCCCTCAGACTGCAGGGGTCGCTCCAACCCGGGGGGAGGCTGAGGGTGGCCTCCCCGAGAAGGCTGGGGGCCCCCGGCTGGCCTCGCTTGAGGCCCTCCCACCTCCCCTTCCCAGATGAGCCAAAGCAGGTGGGGTGCGAACCTGATGTCGGGGTAGCTCCTGATCAGTTTCTCCAGGTGCTTCTGGATGTCGGCCTTCTGGGTCTCACCCAGTATGTCCGCCACGCACGGGATGGCCAAGCCCAGCCACGCGGCCTCAGAGCCCTGCACGGACAGCGAGGCGCTGCAGGGCTGGCTCCCCGGGAGCCCCAGAACCCCACCTGCAGCTCCTGCAGCCAGCGCCTGGGCACCCCGCCTGCCCCCCAGCCACAGCAGGGCAGTGCTCCTCCCCCCTTGAGGAGCACACAGTGTCCCTTGTCTCTGCTCAGGAGAAACTGAGGCTCCCGGGAGTCTGCAGTGGAGACTGCAGCCCAGATGGGGTGCCGCAGGGAGGAGGCTCGGGGGGCTCCCAAAGCTCACTCTGCAGAGGGCAGACGGGGCCCCACCCCATCCCTGCAGACCGTGGCTCTGTGCAGGTATATGCCCAGAGCCACACCCCCCACCTCTGCCCAGCCCGGGGCTCCGGCTGAGCTGAAACGAGAAAGAGGAGCTGCTCCAGGTCAGTCTCGTCCGAGGAGGCCACTGCCGGGGTGGCCGCGCCGCCCGTACCAGGTCCTGGAAGGTGCTGTGGATGGCCTCGGCCTCCTGGCCCATCTTCAGGGAACCTGTCACCCGGCTGGCACCCCGGAAGCGCTCACGCGGCTTCAGCACCTGGGCCAGGTACTCGCGGACCACGTATCGGTGAGCCTCCTGCAGGGTCTCCTGGGGGCTCAGGGTCAGGGTGGGGTCGGGAGGCCCCCGGCCCGGCCGTGCTCCACAGACCCCCGGCCCCCAAGATACCTGTCCCCAGGGCGGGACCACGTGCTGGAGACAGTGGGCAAAGTCCACCACCTTGTCCATGACGGGCTTGAGTGAGTCCCGGGTCAGCCAGTCCTTGGTGCACACGGTGCTGAAGAGCGGCTGGGCAGAGGCAGGGCTCTTCTGTGCGTCCTCACCCACCGGAGCCCCCAGGGCCCCAGACACAGGAAGCCTCCGGGGACTACACACCCCCTTCTCTACCAGATCCTCTGGGGGCATCGCATCTACCCCAAGGATGCCTCTGGGCCTCTCCAGGCCTGGGGCTCCCCGTGGGGTGTGCTCGGGGCCTCCGGCCACTTTGCCGAAGCTGTGTTCTGGGGGAGCGGGGTCGGGCCTGGCCCAGGCCATGGGAGGTGGGGGCCGAAGGAGGGGTAGGTGCTCTCCGACCATGCCCACTCAGCGGACGACCTCTCTGGGCAGGGCGCCCACCGCAACACACGGCCCTGGCACGGCCCGGGGGGCTGAGCGCTGTGCCTGGGCACCCAGCTGCAAGCGCTGGGCTCCCGGGGCGTGGCGAAGCCCTCCCCACTCACCTGCACATCCCGCTGCAGGTGCTGGAGCAGCTGCTTCTGTAAGGTGCCGGTGGCAGCCACCAGAGGCTGCTGCAGCCCCTCAAAAGTTCCTGGGAACTTGGCCAGAAGACTGGTCCTGGGGGTCCGGCCAGGTGGCAGAGTGGACAGGGGAGCAGATGGGAGGACAAGATCAGCATGCAGCCGCGCAGACGAGGCGCCTGCCAGACTATATGTGAAGGGCCGCACCCAGCGCCCAGCCCTTCAGCGTCCCCGGGACAGCTGAGGACACAGCACCAGGGCCAGATGGGGGGGAGGCGACTCAGCAGGTGGGGGAGACCCTGCATGGTAGCTGCCTGGGCAAATGTCCATCCCTGTTGGCGACGGGGAATGGTGCCTACATTGGGGGGCCCTCCTGGGAACCTCACGACTGCCTCTGTGAGGGTGACAGTGTCTCTACGTCACTGCTGACAAAACTAAGGGCCAGGCTCTGTCGCATGGCCAGCCTGGGGACACAGACGGACAGGCCAGAGCTCATGGGGGTGGGCAGGGGCTGCTGCAAGGGTCAAAGGACGTTGCCCGGGGCTAAGCCCCAGGGCCCCCACGCCCAGGAGGGCCTGGTGCATACTGGGCAGTGTACGGAGGCAGCAGAGTCCCGAGGTGCTCACGCCGATGCCTGGTTCTGGTCCAGGCCCAGCACTGGGTTACATGACCCTGGACAAGGGCAGGGACTCCCCACTGCGTGAGGCTGCAGCACTTGGCCAACTGTCCCCGTTGGAGCAAGGGCGTGGCCTGGCACACCACAGGCGCCACAGAGCACACCTAAGCTGAGCCCTCTGACCGGGGCGGGCGCTCTGGTCTGCGCGGGGCAGGTAAGGGAGGACGCTCTCGAGGCGCACAGCCCAGCGTGCGAGCTGGGTGCTGGCCGCCCTGCTCTCTGGCCATCCCTCGTGGGGTGGGCAGAAGGACACTCAGGCTGGACTGAGGCTGAAGCCACAGGGCCAGCCGCCGCAAGAGGACCTGGTGTCCGGCGCTGCGGGGCCCAGGCCCTACACAGCCCAGCCCCGGGTCAAGGAGGGGTCTGGTGTGCAGGAGGTCTCTGTAAAGAGGCAGAGGGCTGGCTGGGGGGGGGGGGGTGCGTGCGCTCAGTGGGGAGGGACCCTGAGCCAGCACAGCCTCGAGACTCCCTGTACCCCCGCCAGGGTGTCAGCTGTGAGGCAGAGTGGGCTGTGGCTGGCGAGGCCTCCTGTCCACTCTCAGGAGAGCCAGGGCCCTCCCAACTTTCCGCTTCCCAGACTCGTGCGCCCCCTGCTGGCCGCGGTGGGCAGCGCCCGGGAGCCCGCTAGGAACTCACCTGAGCTCCTCCAGCGCATTGATGTTGGCACCCAGATGTGGCACGCTCACCTTCGGCTCCAGAAAAGCCTTTTCAAACCTAGGGACGTGGTACGTGGAGGTGATGCGAGTCCTCCCCAAACGTGCAGTGACTGCCAGAGTCCGCCCTTCCCTCGGGGCCCACCCAGGCCTTGGGCCTTAAGATATGGGTCCCTTCCCACCTGCCCCGGCAAGGCAAATTCCAAGCCCCGGCCCCGGCCCGTGCCACCGACATCCACATGGCCACGCCTCTCGCCCCACCAGCCCCATCCTGCCCGCAGCGTGCCACACCTGGGAAGGAAGTGGCCCAGTTCCCGTGCGCAGATCTCCTGGGTGGTAGCCTCCAGTTCCAGGGAGATGGCCCTGGACGCCCTCACGTGCTCTGCCACGAGCTGCCGGCAGGTCGTAAACAGCGACGCTAAGCCCCTGTTCAAGGCCCCCAGTCTCCAGCCCCGCCCAACCCCCATCTCCAGCTCTCATCGCCAGCCTGAGGTCAGCCCTCCCCTCCCCACACAGGCCAAGCAGGGAGCTGTGCCCTGGGGTGCCAGTCTCTGCCATGCTGGCTGCGGGCCTCTCCAGCCTGCCCCCGCTCAGGGCTGATGAGGAGGGCAGGTCAGGTGGTGTCCACATGGCCGGGAGCACCAGCCCTGCGCCCCCCCAAGCACACCATGTGGATGTCCTGGGACAGCGGTGTGTGGTAGAGGCCCTGCAGCATCTCAGGGGACTCTGGGCTCTGCTCCAGTTGTAGGATGTTCTCGAAGCATTTCCTGATCTGGGTCTGGGAGGGCAGGAGGGGCTGCTGTGAGACCTTCCCGGAAGGGGGGCAGGGTGCCTCCCTGGCACACGCACCCCCAGGAGACAAGGGCTGAGGTCCGCCAGAATTGGGCCGGGTTTGAGGCACCCTCGCTTCACCCCTGGGCTCTCGGGGTGCCTGCCTGCAAGGTGCACAGGCCGGTGCCCCAGGCCATGGGGCGAGCGGCCGAGGCCTGAACCCCGCCAGCTCAACACGGGCCCTGTTCCTCTGCAGGGATGGCCAAGGCCCACCTGTCCCCACCTGCCTCACCTCGAGGAAGCGGGTGTATTCGCTCTCCAGCTGGGCCCACACCTCAGGTGCCAGGAGTGGGGGCAGCGGCTCTGCGGGCAAAGCCAGGTCTGGGGCACCCAGGAAGTCAGGACTGGAAGGCAGAGCAGGGGCTGAGGCCTGGGTCGGGCTGCTGCCCCCGGCCTCTGGCAGAGGGCGGAACCTGGGCTTCTGCACACACGCTGGCCTCCCCCCACACCCTCCGCCTGCCCCTCCCGCAGGCCTTCTAGGCACCTTGCCATCAGCTGTGGGCACAGAGTGCTGCCGCCGTGGTGACCTCCACCCTCACGGTCGGGCCACACCCACAGCTGAGGTCTGAGCACCCCAGACCCTCACACTCCCTACCCAGCCGGGGCCAGGGAAGCCTGGGGGTTGGGGGTATGGCCTGAGGCCTCCCTGCAGAGGGCTTCAGGCAGCCTCCAGGCCAGAGGGGGCCGCCTGTCACGGGAACCCAGCGGGGAGACTGAGGAGAAGCCCCCTGGCCTCCCGAGGGGCTGCCTGGAGGCCATCCTTTCCCTTCTCTCAGGGCGTGGGGAGGGCCCCTGACTGGGTCCCCGCAGGGGCCTCCCCCCAGCCCCCTCCAGCTTTGTGACCTCTCAGGAAGGCCCGTCAGAGGGCCCCGGGGCCTGTGGCCCAAGGACGAATGTCAAAGGCTCCCCACCCACAGCCCTCTCCCAGGAGGACAGCGCCCAGCCCCTGCGGACATGTGGGGACGGTGGGCAGTGCCCGGAGAGTGGAGCCGCCGCCCCATGCCCAGGGGCCTCACCTGCTGTAGACGTTGGCGGCCCAGTCCAGCAGGACGTAGAGATTCTCGCAGCCCTGGGCGGGCCTGGCGAGCTCCTGCAGCCGCTGGGCCACGGCGCCGTGAAAGGCGCGCAGGTAGACCTCCCAGGCAGGGAAGCCGGCGGCCGCGTAGGTGGGCTGCACCTCGAGCCTCACCTTCTGCAGGTCTGCGCGAACCAAGGCGCCGAGGTCCGCCAGGAGCCGGGAGAGCGCCGACGCCCCCTCGGCGGAGCCCGGGCTCTCGGGGAAACTGGCCTGCAGGACCCGCTCCTGCACGCTCTGCTGAACCGCCTCCTCCCAGAGCCGGCGCCAGCGGCGCGGCACGCGCAGGAAGTCGCCGTCCGCGGGGGGCGCCGGGTGCGCCTGTTCCTCCTCGCGCACCACCCCGGTCAGCTCCTCCAGCTCGGCCCGGCTCACGCCGCGGGCGCCCAGCGTGTCGCGCACAATGGCGCCGATCTGGGCGGCCAGCGCGTCGTAGTGCACCCCCACGTCCATGGCCTGCCGCAGGAAGCCCGTGGGGTCGTCCTGGAGAGTTTCCGAGTTTTTCCTGGCCACTAGCCGCGACTCCTCCTCCTGTAGCCGCCGGAAGGCCGCCAGGAGCTGCCGCTCCGTGATGAGGTCAGCCGTAGATTTGTCTATTGCAAGGACAGGTGAGAAGAGGGGTGTCTTGGGGGTAAGGAAGGAGGCTCCCCAGGGCCTGGCCCTTCCCGAGGGGCAGCGCAGGCAGCCTGGAGCGCAACCCCAGGCCTGCCCCCACCAGCAGCCCCAATCCCCACCCCACCCGCAGGGTGGGACCTCAGACCCCAGCCTGGCTGAGAGCAGCGCTCCTCGCCCACGGGCTCCCACCGGCTCCCACCGGCAGCTCTGCCGACTGGACGGGGCCTCGCAGTCCTGACCACGAGAGGGAAGGGCCAGAGCTCAGGTGCGTCCCGGGCCCCGCCTGCTGCCGGTCCCCACCCCAGGAGCCGGCCGCAGCACGCCCCCTGGGACAGGAGCCCGCCCGGCCGCTCGGGGGCCCTGCAGATCTGGGTTCAGACCCCAGCTCTGCACCTCCGGCGGCCAGGCCTGAGGCCAGTCACCCCGAGCCCCTCTCCGCTCCTCTGCCCAGGGGCGCTGCTTATTGGGAAGCTGGAGAAGCCCAGACGGGGTGTGTGGGGTGGGGCCTGGGAGGTGCGCCCCAGCCTCGGCCACCCGTCTTGGTCCTCACCTGTCTCGGGTTCTGCGCCCTTGGGCCTGGAGCCCGCGCCTGTCTGCGTGGGCTCTCTGCCAGCGAGCTTGCCGGGCACCTTGGGGCCCGGGGCCGCCCCTGGCGCAGAGGCGGCCTGGGGCTGCTCGGCCGTGGGCTTGCCGGTCAGGGGCCCCCTGATGGACCGCAGCAGGAAGCGGGAGCTGCGCCGGAGCAGGCTCCCGCCATCCTCGGGGCTCTGGGCCGGGGCCTGGAAGCCGGCTCTGGAGAAGGCCCTCCGCCAGGTGCCGAAGCCGGGCCTCGCGTCCTCCCGGTCCGGCCTGGGCGCGTCCTTGCTGTGGGCCGGGCCCTGGCTCCGCGTCCCCTTGGGCTCCTCTGGACTCTGCGTCTCTGGCCCGGAGGACGCTGACCGTGATGATGGCATCGAGGCTGCGGGAGAGCTGCAGGGGTGGGGGTGCTCAGGAGAGGGGTGGGGCGCCGGCCCAGACTCCAGGCTCAGACGCTGGTGGGGCCCAGGGCCCAGGCCCCGGCTGCCTTCCAGGAGAAGCTCGCCCCAGAGGAGACTGGGCCGCCAGAGAGGAAGTGTCACAGCAGCCTCCTTGTCTGGGAGCCAGGCCGCAGCTGGCTCTGGGAGGCGGACAGCCACTCCGTGACTCCGCCCCACCGTCTGGCCAGGGGCCTGTCCTCACCTGGCTGCAGGTCAGGCCCCCCAGCAGAGTAGGGCACAGGGCACCAGCAGCTCCAGCCCAAGGGTCACACCTGGGGCCGCCTGGATCTTGGGTCCCGAGGCCGCAAATGTCCCCGGTATCCCGCCTCCCCCCCACCACGTCCCTCTCCCAGGGCCTCAGCTCACCCCCATTCAGCTCATCAGGCCTAACTGCTTCTGGTCAGGGGGGCGCTCAGGGCCCCAGTGGGCGGACACCTCCTTCCCTGAGTGTCTCGGAACTGCTGCAGCAGGATGGGGTTGAGGGAGCTGGAACTGCTGCGGCAGGATGGGGTTGAGGGAGCTGACCCGGGCATGAAGGGGCTTATCTGGGCCTGCGGCCGCCCAGTAGGAGGGGCCGGGCTGCAGGTCTATATTTAACCAGGGAGTGGGGGAGGGTCCCTCTGCTACCCCTCAGGGCGCCTCTCCTTCCCACCCACCCCAGGTGAGCTCCAGTCCCTGTGGGAGGGGAGAGGCCCCTAGGCCTGGGTGCAGGACAGGCACCCCCCAGTCTGGAGCCCCTGGGGCACAGGCCCAGCCAGTGTGGGCCAGGCAGCTTAGTGTAAACTGGGGAGGTGGAGGAGGGGTGTCTCGCTTTGGCCTTGAGAATGTGGGGCTAGAGAGGGCGGGACGATGAAGCCAAGCTGGGGTAGCGCCCCCAGCCCCTCCTCGGCTCCCCCACCCAGGCCAAAGGCCAGGCTGGAGCCAGTGCCTGACCATGGGGTGACACTGGGCAGCAGTGGCCCCTCCTCAGACCTCATTTGCCATGGGCAGTGACACCCGAGTCACAGACCGGGACCCTCAGGCCACTCACCCTCCAGCAAGCTGTCCAGAGGTCAGACTCGGGCCTCCTCTCTGTGCAGAGGCGCCGAGTGACTGGCCGGCGGACGCTGCCCGGGAGGGTAGGCGGGGGATCAGCGTGGGCCTTATCAGCCCCGCCCGGCCACAGGTCGCCGTCCTCCCTGGCTCCGGCACCCGGGACCCAGCCCTCGCTGGACGGGCCCACACTGGCAGCGATGTCGCCGTGGCGCCGCGTGGCC